ACCAATTTGGTGGCCTTCTATGATGGGGCTACAGAACTGATGGACAGGGGTAGAAAAGTTGATGTCATCTACCTGGGCTTCTGCAAAGCATTTGGCACTTGTCCCACAAGACATCATTGTCTGTAAATTGGAGAGAGATCAATTCGATAGGGGGACTACTCTGTGGATAAAGACCTGGTTGGATGGCTGCATGCAAAGAGTTGTAGTCAATGGCTCAATGTCCAGCTGGAGACCAGTAACGAGTGGTGTCCCTCAGGGATCAGTGTTGGGACCGGTCTTGTTTAACATCTTTGTTGCTGACATGGACAGTGGGCTTGAGTGCGTCCTCAGCAAGTTTGCCGATGACACCAAGCTGTGTGGTTCGGTTGATACACTGGAGGGAAGGAATGCCATCCAGAGGGACCTTGACATGCTTGTGAGGTGGGCTGATGCCAACCTCATGAAGTTTAACCATGATGAGTGGAAGGTCCTACACCTGGGTCGCAGCAATCCCAGGCACAGCTACAAGTTGGGCAGAGAAGAGATTGAGAACAGCCCTGCGGAAAAGGATTTGGGGGTGTTGGTCGATGAGAACATGAACATGAGCTGGCAGTGTGTGCTCACAGCCCAGAAAGCCAACCGTATCGTGGGCTGCATCAAAAGGAGCGTGACCAGCAGGTTGAAGGAGGTGATCCTGCTCCTCTACTCTGCTCTTGTGAGACCTCACTTGGAGTATTGTGTGCAGTTCTGGTGTCCTCAACATAAAACTGACATGGAACTGTTGGAACAAGTCCAGAGAAGGGCCACGAGGATGATCAGGGGACTGGAGCACCTCTCGTATGAAGATAGGCTGAGAATGTTGAGGCTGTTCAGCCTGAAGAAGAGAAGGCTGCATGGAGACCTCATAGCAGCCTTCCAGTATCTGAAGGGGGCCTATAGGGATGCTGGGGAGGGACTCTTCATTAGGGACTGTAGTGACAGGACAAGGGGTAATGGGTTAAAACTTACACAGGGGAAGTTTAGATTGGATATAAGGAGGAAGTTCTTTACTGTAAGGGTGGTGTGGCACTGGAATAGGCTGCCCAGGGAAGTTGTTAATGCTCCATCCCTGGTGGTGTTCAAGGCCAGGTTGAACAGAGCCTTGGGTGAGATGGTTTACTGTGAGGTGTCCCTTCCCACGGCAGGGGGATTGGAACTAGATGATCTTAAGGTCCTTTCCAAACCTAACATTTCCATGATTCTATGATTCTAAACAAAGTCATTGCTTTCCAGATTGCCAGCAAATTTCTCTCTTCCCCACGAAAACAAGCCCTGTAATTATAAGTCTTCTTCCAGTTGTTAAAGAAGGTTTTGCCTCCTTTGTCTCTTCTTGACTGGACAGTCTGTACTATATGCACACCTTGTTTACCTTTGTTTGCCACCCTCATGATCTTGATCCACAAGCATTCCTGTTTGACTCTTTGGATCAACAGCATGTTGTGTTGCTGAAATAGTGGGAAAACTATGCCGTATTTCCAGAAAGTGCAGGACACCTAGTGCACTGGTGAGAAAATATGTTTGCTCGTAAGAGGAATATCAGCTTACTCCTCCTCCTCCATCCTGGCAAAGGATGAGTAAGTTCCCCTCCCTCTACTTCTCCATGTCTTGGTCTGTGAAGTCTCTCTGGTAGATTGTCATATATATCAGGTCAGCATGTCATACTGCAATAGATAGTCAGTGTGTAAGCTCTGTTACTTTCTAAAGATTGCAGGAGTCACTGCATTAGTATTTCTAGAATCATAAGATGGTTTAGTTTGGAAAGGACCTTAAACATCATCTAGTTCCAAGCATCCTGCCATGAGTACCTTCCAGTAGACCAGGGTGCTCAAAGCCCTACCCAGCCTGGCCTTGGGCACTGCTGGGGATAGAACAGCCACAGATTCTCTGGGCAACCTGTGCCAGTGCCTCACCACCCTCACAGTAAAATTCTCCTCCTAATATCTAATCTAAATTTACCTTCTTCCAGTTTAAAGTCATTCTTCTTTGCCCTATCGCCACATGCCCTTGTAAGAAGTCCCTCTCCAGATTTATTGTAGGCCCCTGGAAGGTACCAGAAGGCTTCTATAACGTCTCCCCAGTGCCTTCTCCAGGCTGAACAACATGACTGTATCCTGCATCTTGTCTTCATGATTGCTGAGATTTTGTGATATACAGAATCTGTAAGTCCACTTCCCAGAGGCAATATAGAATGTGAATATCCCCATGCACCAGAAGGTTAGAAGGAAACCTGTTTGCTAAAACAAGCGTATGTTTGTACAGAATTCTGTCATTACCAGGAACATAGTGATTTTGAGCATGTTAGTGGAAAATATCATACTCTAATTTGCTCTGCCAAAGGTACAGATTTTGAATGTTCCCAAGTAACATGTGTAAGCTGGTTAGGACAACAGGGCAGGATGAAAACAAATGGAAACATAGATGAGAGCATGCTGGAAATAAATATTGAGGCAACTATACAGATTATTTGTACATGTGGCAAGATAAAACATTTTCTGTATTTTTCATTCTCTTGAAAGCTGACTCCTGCTTCATTCAATGACAACTGAGTTAAGTCTTATTTTATTTTTGTAGTATTTAACAGGATTCTTTGTTTGGATTACAATACATGGTGATACTCAGAGCACTGTGTGCTTTTCTCTGTACCTTCTATGAAAGGATCACCATTTTTTGGCTCGAATATGTGCATGAAGACCTTAATTAAAAGAAAGATGTTTTTCTAAACTATCCTGCTTGTAATGTTCAGTGTCTGACTGTGGTGTTTCTCACTTCTCTACCCTCTCTTCTGTTTTGCATTGCCAGTACCTAAAGCTACCTGCTGACAACTTGTTCCCCTTAGATTTCTGCTTTGAGAACTGTGCTGCCTCTCTTAAGTAATTTTAAGCAGTGTTTGACACTGTTGTATTTTGGCCATGGTGGTCAACATTAGCTGCTTCTGCAACTTCAGGTTGTCAGTGGCTGTAGATCAGGCAATAAAGGGTAAATGGCTTAATTAATCAACACCATTTTGAACCTGCCTTGCATCAGTTGATCATGGTTATACCTGTACTTTTTCTGACCTGAAATCCTACTGAAATAAAGGGGGCTTCAATGGACAAAGTGAGGGTTTGCAAGATCCATCCTTAGCTAATGTCAGTAGCTATGCATTGGTTTAAACAAGACTCGGTTTACTTTGATTTCTAGATTAGTGAAGGTAACATTGAACAGAACATTTAATTTATCTCATTGATTTTCCCTGTAATACTGTTGAAACACAAGTCATTGCTCTAATCATTTGTTTTACCATTAAAATTCTCTATGCAGATCTGGTCCCTTGAGATATCAATGTGTAACCAGATACTCCATGATCTAATCAGCTTCTGCAAGAAATATGCTATCTCTGCAACACTTAGCAGCAGAAAGCTTAATCAAAATGGAAAATTTATCTAATGTTTAAAGCAAAAGCCAGTTCAAAGCGACAACCATGAAAAGCAGGGCTGTACAAAATCTTAAGACAGTTCTCAGATTAAACAAAGCCAAATCCAAGCCAGAGTCTAACATGATTTTTTGTGACTCCATTTATTGTTAAGGAAGAAAATGTTACAGCTGTGACTTCAGTTTCTAGGGTTCCAGTTCAGTTAAAATAGCATTGAAACAAGAATGACTGACTAGCAGGATTTCATTAATGTGGTACTTGCCACAGCATGCATGCTTTGGAAAGTAGTTTTTAAAGGCACCTACAAAACTGTCAGTAGCAGGCAAGACCTGTGCTCTGAACTCATTTTGGTGCTAGGATTTGCGTCTCTGAGGCCCTAATGGTACAGTTCATTTCTGAAATAGAGTTCTACTGACACTGAAGAAGTTTTACAAGCAGTGCTACATAGGCTGTGGAGCAGACCTGCTTGCTATGGTGAATCTGACCAGAAACATCTCTTCTAGCTGGAACAGTGGGACTGTGGCTCTGCCTGCAGCCAAACAGTATTTCCATATAAACTGCCAGATTTCACCATCAGTGTTCAGAAGGATAGTGGTGTTCAAGGGTGATAAGCATCTTCTAGTGCCAGCTCACCTCTCCATAAAGACAATGTCCCTTATGGGGGGGAATGATCATGTGTTTGGTGGTGTCTTTAGCTTTATCAGCTGCTTTCATGTAAATGTCTGAATGCTGAGCAAGATAAGTTATTTTGTGGTTGAGGGTTTTCTTAATGGATGTACCTTAGAAACAGTATTTTTCATAGCAAGGTATCTCATACCTTTTATTCATCTTTGTTAAGTTGTGGAAGGAGGTAACTTCTGTACATAGGCATGTTAAGTACTGCATCTTGTTCAAGACCATGCACTGGAGTTTCTGTATTGTATCAGTGACAGGCAGTGCTACTCTTGGCTCTATCTGTTGTACTTTTGTAGCAAAGGAAAACAGAATTTGAGGTAAATTTGAGAAGGAAAACAGCATTCAGTAACCTTGTTGATGAGACCTGAAATAAAGAAAAGATTGGAAAGTTTAAGTGTCCTGTACATTTTCAACTCATATTTTAGCTGCAATATAAAGCCAGCTGTGATATTGCTGGTTTGTTTTGTGGGGTATTTTTAGTTATTTTAATTTTTTTTTCTTTGTTTCTGTAATCTACACAATGCATGATTCGGTGTATAGGGCCAGACTCTCCTCTTTTCATTGTCCCTAGGGATTTATTATGGGACTATCTTTGCTGGGCTTACACCAGGATTATTGCTTTGATGTTCAAAGCCCAATGACTTCAGTGACCTTAAAGGCATAAGAATGAGAAGAAAGTGAGGAAGTGCCCATACAAGCAATTAAAGCAGTGCCTGTTTATTTCAAGTTCATACAAGCTGCTGTTGTGGTAAATGCTGAGAGACAAATGTAGTATATTAAGATAAAGGGCAGGGGAGGAGTCTACTGGTGAATGCTGGTACAGGTCAGAAAATTATCAAGAATCACTAATAACAGATTAATACATATTGATTGTTTTCTTCTATTGTGTTTTTAGGTTCTCATGACTCATTTAGCTTTTACATCGATGAAGCTTCTCCAGTTGGTCCTGAACAGCCAGAGACGGTCCAGAATTTTGTATCTGTTTTTGGGACTGTTGCTAAAAAGCTGATGAGGAAGTGGCTGGCTACACAGACCATGAACTTCACCAGCCAGCTGGGGGCAGGTATACGGTATTTTGATCTTAGAATTTCCACCAAGCCCAGAGATCCAGACAATGAGCTCTACTTTGCTCATGGTTTATTCAGTGCCAAAGTCAAGGAGGGTCTGGAAGAGATCAATGCGTTTCTTGCTGACCACCCAAAAGAAGTGGTCTTTCTGGATTTCAATCACTTCTACGGGATGCAGAAATACCATCATGAAAAGCTTGTCCAAATGCTCAAAGACACATATGGAAACAAAATGTGTCCTGCTATATTTGCCCATGAAGTAAGTCTCCAGTACCTGTGGGAAAAGGAACACCAAGTCCTGGTGTTCTACCACAGTCCAGTGGCTCTTGAGGTAGCATTTCTTTGGCCAGGCCAGATGATGCCAGCTCCCTGGGCAAACACAACAGATCCTGAAAAGCTGATTCAATTCCTCCAGGCATCAGTCACTGAAAGAAGAAAGAAAGGTTCCTTCTTTATATCTCAAGTAGTGTTGACACCAAAGGCTAGTACAGTGGTGAAAGGGGTTACTAGTGGTCTCAGAGAAACGATCACAGAAAGGTAAGTTTCTGGCAGGTAACGTGTTGCTGTGCTGAATGTGTGTGTTTGGTAATGCTGCTTTTCTAATGCTTTTTAAAGAAACTCCATCCTACTTTAGGTTAGTCAGAACTTGTGCATAATCTTAAAATATTTAAGGGGACATACATTGAAAGACAAGTTTTTGTATTTTGAAATAAAAATTTGCGCTAAAGCCTAATGCAATTATGGGATTGGGATTGTTTTGGCCTTATTTCTTTTTTTGGGGGGTTGGGTTTTTTGTTTGGGTTTTTTTGTTTGTTTGTTTTTGTTTTCAAATGTGGTTTCTTACCATGAGCACTGAACACCTTGTCTTGGATTTCCTTACTGATGTGGACAAATCTGTGTGAATTATCTAGATCATGTACGTTTCTATTTATGCATCAGGCTTCAGGTATTGGGTAGATATTTTTTTTTGTTCATGAGCAAAGCCTGAAACTGAAGAATTTGCATCCTTAACTATCTTTATGTACCTTAAAGATGTACAGATTTTCTTTCTGCATAACATCACACATTATATCAAAGATATCAGGACACTGTTAGAGTGAGTTTGCCTCCAAAGAAGCCTTCATTTGTCATGCAGGAATGAGACTGCAGACCACTGTACAGGTTCTGTATATGGAATACTGTGTTGACAGGCCATTAGTTGTTAGATTACAAAAAAAGCAGTCTGTGCAAGATGTGAGTTATTATGCCATTCTGACTTGAATAAATCACAGCAAGCTTTCAGTTTAAAGGCGTATATGTATGACTGTTCTTGCCAACTTTGTAGGAAATGTGAAATTTAATGCCAAGGCAAAAGAGCTATTTTTTCCCCTTTAAAAAAAAAAAAAGGAGAAGGGTTGCAGAGTGTAAAAAAAATTTATAATGGGAGTCAATGACCTTCTGATGTTCTGCTGTCTGCATTCATGTGCCTGTGTCAGGAAGGTCTATTTGGAACACTGTCTCCTTCTGTATGAGATGAATGACACAGTGCCTGTGACACTACAACCTGCAAAAGAAAACATGCCTCATTTTTGAGAAAGATTGAGCCATTTTTATGGCAGCTTTCCCAAGTGACTGTTAACTTGAAAAAACAAGGAAAATCTTTAGCTGAAATGGTAAAACACTGACACAAGGTTTTGTAAACGCTGGGATATGATTCAGAAATGCTTGTATGACTGCACTTGCAGCTGTTTACATCCTTCACATGTTTTTATAAGTCCATTGGACTAGGGATCTCCCTTTCTGCATAATCTGAAGAGCACTTCTCTCTATTGAAATGCTACTTTCTTGATGGATTTCATGGTTAAATATTCACTTTGTTGTTCAGGGATTTGTTTTCTCTGGTAAACATCTTTCTGAGTGTTCTTCAGACCATGAAGTAGCAAGATCAAGAAACTACCAGATTCTTTTTAAAATCTGCTGCATCAGTAAAATATCCATTAAAAAAACTTTTTTTCTTCTCTGACTCACATTGTGCTTCCTCAAAGCTGTTCGGAAAACTAAAAAAAAGTGGATTGTGAATAAGTTTGTCTGAGTTCTGAATGACTTGAGCCTTTGAACTCTTAGTAAGCCTTTATCTACAGCAAACTTTGAGATTATAACTTGAAATTTTGGTAAATAATGGGGCTGGAATACCTGGAAATGTTGTTTCCAAATTGCAGTTGAGGTTTTTCATATGAGCTCCAAGTGTGTAATCAGAGGCTGCTGCATGAATGCGCTTTTTTTTCCTTCTTTGCCTAACTTTTAACCATCACAAAAGAAAGGGATCTTTAAAATTATCTCCAAAGCTAGTATTCAATCTTCCAAGTGTGGCATCTCATTTTAAATTTTTATTTGTATTTTTGTTACTAAAAGACACTGCAGAAAAACACAGGCTTTGAATGTTGTTAATCAATGTAGGAACTGAGCTATATTGTTAACTGCTCTGGAAGTAGACTCAGAACTGATCCTCATTTGACAATGATCCTGTTAAAAAATACATAGACAAGCAATTAAAGGATGTGCACAGTTAATAGAATTTACAGAATTCACTTCAATCTCGCTGCATTAATGTTGCAGTAACTTAGGAGCCAGGGCGTAACTTCCAGCTGCACTGTTTGTTACTTTCATCTGTCTCGCAATTGTTTATATAAAGATTATTCTGTCCTTTTCAGAATAAATACACAGACCACATACATTATTGTGTTCAGGTAGATAACATCTGTGCTTTTGTTGCCAGTTGCTGCATAGTTTTATATATTTTATACTATTTTCTGCTTATCAATTAATGCTGGGAAGAGCTTTTCATTAAGAATGCAGTATCTTGCTTTTAGCAGCAGTTTTGTAGTCATTTGGGTTGGGTTTTTCTCTCACACTAAATTTTGACAGATCTGAATGCAAATGTGGAATAAGATTGAATTTTTCAAGTAATTCTGGTGTGTTCCCCCCCCCCCAATATTACATTGCAGAAATGTTTCCTTTGGCATTTGCAGACATATCCTGTAGTCTCTATTTCTGTCATCTGTAGAGTAGCCATTTTCATTTACATATTGACTTATTTCTGAAAATAAAACAAAGCTTAGGTCCTTTTGGATCAGAACAACCATATTAGGTTTTGGTCTTTGAAGCTGTTTGTTAGTCATGAGATTATGTACAATTTGAAAAGCAGTGGCCACCTTAGAGGAGGAACCTGGTTTCTCAGTTGCAACAGACTGCAAAAACTGCAAGCAGACACTGAGCAGCAATCCATGCCCCTTTCTATTGTTTTGTATCTCATGTTGTGAAAGAAATATTCCTCCATAGCCAAGCTGATTGGTTTAATAGCTTTTCACTGCTGCATGTGGTGGTGGAGGTCCACATGTTCAAACTGCAGTCGAAAATTCTCCTAAGGCGATACATTTCAGGAGACGTGACGTTTTTTCTCAGCCTTTTCCCCATAGCACAGATATGCAAGAGGGAAGGCCCATGGCAACTTCGATTAAAAAAAAGCTTTCGAGTTCAGTAGATGATATACCAGGACTGGGTTTTACTGAGAATGCTTGCCCACAGGCTTTGCTGTCATCACAGGTAATGCGCTGTAGGACAATAATTTGAAAGAAGGAGAAATGATAAAATAGTCAAGATTTCTATTCCTGCACAAATACAAGAGGCAAAAGCCATTTGTTGTGTGCTCTTCTTAGGACCACAGCTCATCATTGCAAAACTATGTAACACAGCTTTCATCTTCATTATTTGAATGAGGAAGATGGCTCGCCTGAGTGCATGTTACGTTTCTTGGATTTGATGAAAAACTTTGAGGACTAACAATATGTTTTCAGGCTTAACATTCTGTCAGACACAGCTTAGATGCCAAGGCATACTCTTTGATTAGCAAATAGTATGTACCAAATGAATTGCATTCCCACTGCTTATTGAATTAACTTCACAGTGAGGCAGCTGCCTTTAGTACATTTCAAAGGTGGCTGTGAAACAACCTTTTCATGAGTGTAGGGTTGTTCTTCATAATGATCTACTTTGTTTTCCGATTTGCAGTGAAATTGCTAATTTTATCTCTGACACTGGAGACAAGTATGATACTCTCTTTTTTGTCTCTGAGGTTGAGTAATACAGAACAGGAAAAAATAGAACTCCTTCAGAGGACGCAAAAGTCCTGTGGTACTTTTAAAGCTTTCAAGAAATAGACATAAAGACATACCCTGTCAATTGTCACTTGATTTCCAAAATAATCTCTAGGGATAATGTTCCCTGTATTGCACATGTGACTAAATCCTTGCCTACCATGCTAAAGCTTCCCCCTTAGCAACCAAAGCAAATTTAAAAAAAAAAAACAAACAACCCAAAAACCAAACCTAAAACCAGGAAAAAACCCCACCTGCACATGAGAATGAATCTTTGGAGAAGAAGAAAAGCAGGCAAACTGTTAACAAAAAGGGTGGTAAACAGGCCACAGAAGCTGTCTGCAAAAAAGCCATTTCTGGGTGCACTCATAAACCTAAGCAGAGTCAGATTTAGCGAGCACATAGATGGATATTAAATGAAAAATAATCAAATAATCCTTGAAGTTTCAGGAAGTTTTTTTTGTTTTTTTTTAAACAGTTGCTGAGGGTGTACTCATCCAAGCCATATCTCAGCCAGATGAATTTGTGAGAGTTTCTGTGTTGCTGGAAGAGAGGGATTTGATCATATTTTGATCCACACTTGATATTGACTGATATTGACTTGTTATTCCCTATTTTTTAAAAAAGAAAACAGAAATGTCACCTGTGGCAGTTGTATTTTCCTGATTGTCTAGGCATCCTTCCTGCTTGTAACCTTGATATCTGTCTTCATTATGGGCTGCAGGAGAGCATCAGGCCCCAGTGAGCTGATTTGTGTTTAGGACTTAGTGACCCCATAGCAACATAGGTGGTATGTGAGCTCTTTAACTGTCAACAGACAAGTGCAGACTCCATCTCTCACTAATATATGTGGTACAAACTGTCATTCTGGTATATTACTAGGGAATTCAAAAGTACTCTGGTCACTCTAGCCTAATCCTTAGTATTTCTGCTCGTCCTCAGACTACTCTTAATTACATTTCTAGTCTTTCCACACAAGAGGCAATCTCTGTTTGCATACAGAGCAGTACAGGGAGACCTTACTTTCATTTAAGTATCTATCTGCCATGTCAATAGGCCTGCAGAATAAAATTCCTAATAGGCTGTGTATGCTCAGCCTAATTTTGCTGGCAGGCATTTTAGTGGCATTTCACCAGAGGAGAATCTGTCTGCACAAGGATTTTAATATAGTGTTCCATTGGGAAGTGCTGAGTGGTTGTGTCTGGTGGCTTTGATCATGAAACTGGAATAGTATTAAAATGTCATAAAATACGTGAGCACTGGAGTTTTAATAACTTTATTAGGGAAAAGTATTTACCTACATACAGATTAGTATCCTGTGGGATTTAGTTCAGAAAGGAAGTTGGCATGGTGATCACCAGCTCTGTGACCATTAGAACTATCAGTGGCTTAGCTTTAGGATGT